AGTTAAGAAGAGAAAATATCCACATGAGCAAAGTAAAGAAGCAACACTTATCTCATATTCTTATTACAACACTTACGGTTGTGTGAGAGTCTATTTACATTATATCTATCTTATTCTGGGATCTGGCATTTCTGGGCGGCTGCTTCAATAACTTATTCTATACAATTACATAAGGAGGGATACACGCAAGTGTATTTTCCTCTCACCTTGACTGTCCACAGATCTTTGTCCCCCTCTAAAAAGGAACACCTGGAAGACAGAGCCTATCTGCTGTTGATCTAGGCACACACATACCTTCCCCTTGCTAGGACCAGATCATTCCAAGGCATAAAGGAGTTAATCAATACAACATTGTTGAGTAAATAAAAGAAATAAAATACAATATAATAAAATAATATTTGGATGACCATTCAGTTTGTTGTGTTCACTGCTCTGTTTAAAAACAGAGTTACTGAGTACTAGCTTATATGCTAACTCCTGTACTCAGGGCCATGGGTACCTTGCAGATGTCTAAGACTTGCCTGAGGTCATAGTCCCCAATTTTTGGCATAGGCAGGTTTTCTGAACATAAAGTACTGAAACCGCCCCAATAGTCCCATACACATTTCTTTTGGATAAAAATAGGAATTGGCCCTTCCTGTCTTAAAGCTTGAAACTTAACATTTGTTTCATCTGAGTTCCTTCCTCAGGAAAGGCCCTGGAAGCCTCTCAAAAAGTATCAAAGAACTAAAACTCACCAGCTCATTGCATTCAGACAATGAGATTCCAGGCCCCTCATTTCGTTTCCTTACCCTTCCCTAGTTCCTGAGTTCCAACACACTGTTACATTTCTATCCCACTATATTAAACCCCTAAGTTTATTGAGTCAGGGAGATGGATTTGAGACTGATCGCCCGTCTCCTCAGCTCCAGCACCCGATTAAAGCCTTCTTCCTTGGCAACAATCGTTGTCTCGGTGATTGGCTTTCTGTGCAGTGAGCAGTAGGGCTGAGACTGGATCCTTGGTGTTTTGGTAACAGTATGAGCTGGTGCAGGAGAAAGTCAGTTTGTGCTAGGCCATCTAGTTTCCCTCCAGAAAGTATGTGCCAGACAACTCAGAACCATGAGGCTTTCTCTTCCTGACCCCTGTCGTCTACCCACCCAGGCCTGTCCCGCTCCTCCTCTGTATTAACGTACCTACAGAGGTTCCCTAAACTCTCAGTATGGGCACCGTGAGCTGTTCAAAAGTCCTACTGAGGTTTTATATATGACATATTATACATTATAATATGAAGTATTATACATATTTTCCACCTTATTCTCTCTTTTCTAAATTATATTTTCAGTAAGGAACGTGCCATTCCTATTAAAGTACTAAAATGACCAGGCGTGGTGGCTCATGCCTGTAATCCTGAAAGTTTGGGAGGCTGAGGTGGGAGAGTTACTTGAACCCAGGAGTTCAAGACCAGTTTGAGTAACAAAATGGGACCCTGTCTCTATAAAAATAATTTTAAAAAAATTAGCCTAGGGTAGTGGCAAATACTTGTAGTCCCAGCTACTTGGGAGGTGGAGGTGGGAAGATCGCTTTTATCTGGGTGTTTGAGGCTGTAGTAAGCTGTGATCATGCCCCTGCACTCTAGCCTGGGTGACAGGGTGAGACTCTTTCCCAAATAATAATAATAATAATTTAAAATAAATAAAATTACCAGCTTCTAATATATCACATACCTGCAGTAGTCACACCAGTATATGACATATGGCAAATGACTATTGGGGTATATTTTACAAATATGTATCTATGCGTTTAGTGTGTGGGCGTATACACATGGTCATCTCGCAGAATCTGGAGGAGACTGTTTCCAGAACCCCCCATGAATACTAAAATCCACAGATGCTCAAATTCCTGACAGAAGATGGTGTAGTATTTGCATATGATTTACTGATCTTCTCCCTAGTATATTTAAAATCATTCCCAGATTACTTGTAACACCAAATACAATATAAATATTATGTAAATAGTTGTTGTGCTGTATTTTTTACTTGTATTAGTGACAGTGTTGTTTTTAAATTTTTTCCCCCAACAGTTTTGATCCAAGATGGGTTGAATTAACAGACCTAAAACCCAGAGAAAGAAGGCTGACTATATGTGTATCTACAGTCACGTATCACTTAATGAGGTGGATACATTCTGAGAAACATGACCTTAGGTGAGTTTCTCATCGTGTGAACATCATACAGTATACTTACACAAACCTAGAGGGTGTAGCGTACTACATATCTAGGCTGTAAGGTATACCCTATTGTTCCAAGACTGCAAATTCATACAGCATGTTACTGTATTGAACACTGTGGGCAATTGTAACATCATGGTATTTGTGTACCTAAACATATCTAAACAAAAGAGGTACAGGAAAAACACAGTATAATTTTATGGGACCACTGTTGTATATGGTGTCATTGACTAAAATGTCATTATGCAGTGCATGACAGTATATATCCTTCAGTGAAATTCATCTTAAGATTCAGAAGCCAGCAGGTCATTCTTGCCACACTTTCCCAGACTTCACCCAAGTAGACTGTTTCTTCAGAAGGGAAGCCTGATACTAATGGAATGTGATGTCATTTTTTTAATTAACCCTTTCCACTAAGTTTGAAAAGGACATTCTTCCTAGACTGTACGTCAGTAACAATGCCCCATCATGGAGAGAAAAGCATACTGAACCTGAGCTTCTACAGTCTAGGGCAATCAGCTCCTCAGGCCCCACAAGCATGCTCTTTCCACTATGCAGGTGGAGAGTTACGACTGCTGAAAGCCTCTGTCCCAGTGAGACAAAACTGCATTATCTATTAAATTTCTAATATGCAGACTATATTTTATATGGCAGATACACTGCAGAAAAAAATGCTGGCTTTTACTCTTATACATGGAGATCTATTAGAGAAATCTATCAGGGAAGTACGAAGTTGATCAGAGTCACAGAGATTCTGATGAAGGGTTACAGAATTGAAGCAATATAGTAGATGCTGGCTCCTTAATGCACTAAAAAATTACACTTTTCATTAAGGCCCCTACCAAACTTCCCACACTTTCAGTTACATCCCTGTAACTAGGAACTATACCCAGAAGTGGCAGCTTGGTTTTCAGGCTTCAGGCTGTCTTGTGGCTTGAAGGTTGGGTTTCACTGGGTGCTTGCCCCTATCTGCCTAGGAATTTATCTGCCTTCTACCACTATCACAATAATTTTTCAAATGAATAGGTACAAATCCCTTAGCATAGAGGAGCTCCTTGAATACCAGCATGACTGGGCAGTTGGGCTACCAAGGGTCTAAAATCATGGTTGGGAAACTCTCCGAGATCCAATATGTTTTTTTCTTTCTACCTATGGCTTGCACCTCCCCAATTTTGAGCCTATAAAAACCCTGGCCTCAGCCACACGTTGGGACTACCCGCCTTCTGGTAGGGACTACACGCTTTGGGTCTCCTCTCCACTGGGAGCTGTTCCATCACTCAATAAAACTCTTCTCTGCCTGGATTACTCTCCAGTTGTCCGTATAACCTCATTCTTCTTGGATGCAGGACAAGAACCTGGGACCTCCCAAAGAGCGAGTGAGGAAGGAGTTGTAACACTGTAGCCTTCCTGTCCTCTGTTGGTGCCAGGCAGCTGCCCCACACAACAGGAAGTAGCAGTGGGGCCGGGCCAGCCTAGGAGCCATGGGCTAGAGCAGAGCAGTGGGACTGAACAAGCTGTAACACGAACGAGCTGAAAACCACCCCCACCCCATTTGCTGCACTGTGGTTGGTGAGAAGGAGAGAAGAGCTGTGACCCTTCTGGGAACCCAAACCTCAGCTCCCCAAGCCAGGGCTGTGTGCCATGCTGTAACACCCCCTTTGGAGTTCTGTGATTGCTGGTGTGTCCAAGGTTTTAGGGCGCCACCGCATTCCCCTCAACCAGACACCAGCGCCCAAGGCAGAAGCCCCTGGCCGTACACCTGGTCTAGCCACAGCCCTGCACAGAGCCAATGCCTGGAGCTGCCCACCCCACCACAGCAGCTGGCACGCCTGGCTTGCCCTTGGCGGGCATGAGATATAGACCAGTTGTATGAGCTGAGTGCAGCCTGATGGGCCAAGTGGGCAGAGCAAGCCCTGTGGGCACAAGCAAAACTCAAGCACAGGCACTGCCAGCTGCAGAGGTCTCTGGCTGGCAAAGAGGCACTGAAAAAATCCTGTATCATTTCCACACTCTATATGTGTGAAGCAATACAGTGTGTATCCTAAGGATAAGGGTGTGCATGAGTGTGGGTATGTATGCCTGTGCTGCTGGTGAGCTGCAGGACCATCATGGAAGGGAAGTTAGTAAAAGAATGTTGCTCTGGGCTAGGCACAGCGGCTCATGCCTGTAATCCCAGCACTTTGGGAGGCCGAGGCTGGCAGATCACCTGAGGTCAGAAGTTCAAGAGCAGCCTGACCAACATGGAGAAACCCAGTCTCTATCAAAAATAGAAAAAATTAGCCAGGTGTGGTGGTGCATGCCTGTAATCCCAACTACTCAGGAGGCCGAGGCAGGAGAATCGCTTGAACCCGGGAGGTAGAGATTGCGCTGAGCCGAGATCGTGCCATTGAACTCCAGCCTGGGCAACAAGAGCAAAACTCGGTCTCAAAAAAATAAAAAAAGTTTCCCTGGCAGAGCGTCGCATTCTACAGACCAAGAGGCTGTGCTGAGTCCTTCTGCAAAGAGACTTCCACTCTCACTTCTGATCCAATAAACTTACAGGTCAGTGAGATGGTGCATAAACACAACCCATTGTACAGGTTAGCAAAAGAATCTGACTGACTAAAAGAAGGCATCTATAAAGAAGGTAAAGCTCTGGCCTGCCTGGAGATAAACCCCAGCGCATCACTAAAGAGAGAAAGCAAGTACACATTACCAGGAACCATCCTGCCAGGAAAAAGTGGGTAGGACAGCAGTAGCAGGCATCATGCTTAAATAACAAGGTAATTATTAGCTCCATTTATCTACATACCTCCAAAGTGAGCTCTCGGTGATGCTCCCCAGGTTATAGTCATAGAGCTTTGTCAAAATGAGAATCACCTGAAGGCAAAAGAAGAAATCATGGTTAGTCTCAAACAATTACAATCTCTTAGAACTGAAATGGCCCAAGGGAGGGCTTAGAATTCCTTTAATAGGCGCTTAGCATAATTGAATGAATTGTTACAGCATTTGCCGCACTGACTGGAAAAGGGTTGGCATACCTTTCTGCCTTTCCCCTGAACTGCTTAGGCCTAACCTCTCCCCACCTTTCTCCCTGTCACCCTGCAGCAAGGGTTAACTGCTCCTCCAGGCGTTTCTTTCCCTAGTGGGTTTAATGCTTTTAGGGAAGGCTGGCAGAACTGCCAAATATGAACACAACTCAGGTACTCACTGAGCTGTGGAAGAAAGGAAGGTTAATGATTAGTTTCCAGCCCTAGTAGCTGGGCACATTGAGGTTACCCAATTGAGGTTACCCAATGTGCCCAGCTACCATCTTTTTGGGAGACAGCAAAGAATTCTTTGAAAGAATGTCAGTATGCCCATTTATTAAGGGAGATGAAGAGTAATGCTATCTCCCAAAAAGAATTGTTGTTTGAAGTTAAATTAGGAAATAAATACAAATTACATATCAATTAGCATGATGGTTTATCTTTTTTGTTGTTTTTTTTTTTTTGAGATGGAGTTTCGCTCGTATCGCCCGCGTTGGAGTGCAATGGCGCAATCTCAGCCCACTGCAACCTCTGCCTCCCAGGTTCAAGAGATTTTCCTGCCTCAGCCTCCCAAGTAGCTGGGATTACAGGAGCCCGCCACCATGCCTGGCTAATTTTTTGCATTTTTAGAGATCGGGTTTCGCCATGTTGGTCTGGCTGGTCTCGAACACCTGACCTCTGGTGATCCGCTAACCTTGGCCTCCCAGAGTGCTGGGATTACAGGCATGAACCACCGCGCCTGGCCTAGCATGGGATTCTTAAATGTCAGCTCCTTCCCTTTGCCCTATGTGAGCTTGGCTTTAACTTTCTTCTGACTTCCAATTTCTAGGAAAGCTATAAAACAGAAGCCACATTGGCAGGGCTAAACAACAGCATTTTAACAGGAGCAAATCTATTTCAAGGGGTCCAGATAATTACTGTGTAATCCGTTTCTTATGGAACCCTCCATAAGAAACAGATAAAATCAAAAATTAGGAACAGGCCTCAGGAAAGAAGCCGTAGAATTGCAGAAGGCTAAATTTAAGCCATATTCGCTTCACAGCAAATCCTCCTCTGACATCGAAAGCAGCACTATTTTCAACTTTACCCAGAGGAACCTAAACCATTTCATTCTTTCAGAATTCAACAAACATATATTAAACATTTATTAGGAGCCCAGGATTTTGTCTGATGCCAGAAGAGAACACAAAGAAAAACAGATTCAGTCTACAAGTCCGTGATCCGGTTAGGACAGAAACGCTCATGAAAGAAAAGGGAAGTTGATGAAGAGCTATATATCCCTACTCAGTCACACCGAAACTCTTCCCATCACAGCTGCTCCAGAAGACACCTTCTCTTGGTGTCTGAAACAATGAACACAGTCCACTTGGTTACTTGAAATACATGAGCCCAAGGACACTTGAGAAGATTCCACAGAGCAGTGTGTGTTCCTAACCACTGATTTCTCCACCTTTACTTGCTCTTCTTACGTTAGGGAAAAACATTATGGGTTTGCTCAGTTTTCTGTCGAAGTTTGTATTTTCCTCCTGGTACTCATAACCTAGAACATTTGGCTCAGCCCAGCTGTTTCCAACTCAGCAGAAACATGTTGACATTGATCCTGAATTCTTCTCTGAAGGCCAAGGGATCAGTTCTAGCCACAGTGAGCAGAGAACATTCCAACCTTAAATTCCGGGCCTGCAAGCTGCTGAGGAATGCTGAATCCAAGTTCCACTCTACTAGCACAGCGTTTGATTTACTGAAGGCACAAGCATCAATGAACACATTCTTAACTTCTTTAATTTCACAGCAAGTAAACTGGAACTCCCTGACCTTAGGTTTGTTCTGAGTTCAAGGGGGAAAAAAAAAAAAATTACAGTAACTTAAAAACAGGCAGAGATCCCTAAGTACCTGTCATCTAAGGCCACCCCTCTCCTAAACTACAGCACAGCTTCCTTCCTTCCAGGTCCTGTTCAAAACTTGCTTCTTTAGCAAAACGTGAGCATGTGTGAGGTGCGGGACACCCTATGGGCACATCAGATGGCATGCCTGTGGTGGGGGCATATGCTTAACAGATCCATGTGCCAATTAAGTTGCGCTCAGTGCTAAATTTCAATCACTGCCATCCCAGGAACAGTGATCAGTGGCAGCAGGGTGGCTGTTTGTTTGAAGACACAGAATGATGTTGCTACTCCACCTCAGTACAATTTTGCCGAATAAGCCTATAAATCCCCCACCAAGAAAACAGGGGTGTGGGCATACAGCATTTCTAGGTAGTTGCTCTGCTGATACAATACCGCAGTAAACTAAATAATGAAGTTCAGCTGGTCACAGGCTGTGTCTCCCATTCATGTGATGAGGGAATTCAAAGGCACCCCGGAGAAGGAACCCTTTAACCCAGCATGTAATGGTGTGGAGCCACTCGCACAAGCACACATAGAAATTGTTTAAGCAATCCCAGGGCAAGCAGGCAGGGAGGCAGAAACCGCTCCCTGCCTCTTCTTGCAGAGCTAGTAAAACTGAAATGCCAGTGATACACTCAGGCAGTTTATCAATACAGCACCAGAAGAGGAGTCCTTTATGGCATTTGAAAGCATATCTGCTTGAATCAATCTATTTAATCTTTCTGTTTTCATAACGAGAGCAAGAAAGAAGGGAGAACTGCTAACCTTTAGTTATGTTTTCAATCGATTATTTGAGATTTCTTTTTCTTTTTTCCCTTTACTGCCTCTGTGCATTATTTACCATCTTATTCCTGAACAATGATGCATCCTTATGTTAGGTATGTTTTGTTGTTTGTTTGTTTGCTTTTCTGTTATGCCAATACTATTTAACAAAGCAGTTTCTGTTAAGGGAACCAGAGCCAAAACCACTACATTTAAATGAGAAAATGTCAAAAAATGCAATTGCCTCCTTACTCTGGTCTTATTCTCTGTTGTTTTTGTGTATTTTTCAAACTCAAAATGGAACACAATGGAGCTGTTTTGTTTGCTTTCATTTTTGTTTGGAGATGGGAGTCCCGCTCTATTGCTCAGGCTTGTCTCAACTTCCGGGCTCAAGGGATCCTCCCACTTTAACCTCCCTAGTAGCTGGGAGTAAGGTGTAGCACACTGCATCCAGCTTTCAGTGGAACTTTTTAATTAAGTGAAATGTTGTATGTGCTTAAGTAATATACACATAATTTATTTTTATTCATTCAGCACACAATTTTCATGTATAGAAAAACTCTAAGTGTATAGCATTCAATTATAACTTCAATCAAAAAGCAAGGCTATTTTGATGACCACATATACATCTCAAAATGCATATGAACACATATACCCCCACACAAAGTGGCATATCCATCAGCATCCCATTTATTTCTGTATCTTGTTTTCATTATATAGTGTTAAAACATCCCCAATTCAAGTGGTCACCACATGGTACTAGTTTTTTAAGGTTCCTCTCTAAATCTTAGGATATTATCTTTAACTAGCTATAACCCAAATTATCTAAGACTTGATAACCTCCACCTGTGCCATACCAGGACCTCAGCATCCACTTATTTCTGGGACTTTCCACAGTAACATGTTTCAAGTATGCCTCTCGCCAGTCTAGGACTTGCTGTCACCACATGACATCTGCACTTCATCTTTCACTGTGTGACTCCTTCTTGCCACATCTATTGCTTACAAAACTTTTGGGAGGAACTTCACTTGGTCCATACGTTTTCTTTTCTTTTCTTTTTTTTTTTTTTTTTTTTTTGAGATGGAGTCTCGCTCTGTCGCCAGGCTGGAGTGCAGTGGCGCAATCTCGGCTCACTGCAAGCTCTGCCTCCTGGGTTCAAGCGATTCTCCTGCCTCAGCCTCCTGAGTAGCTGGGACTACAGGCACGCACCACCACAGCCAGCTAATTTTTGTACTTTTAGTAGAGACAGGTTTCACTATGTTGGCCAGAATGGTCTCAATCTCCTGACCTCGTGATCCACCTGCCTCAGCCTCCCAAAGTGCTGGGATTACAGGTGTGGGCCACCGCACCCAGCTGGTACATAGAGAGAGGATGCCGGTGCCCACTCGCCAAGCTACTGTTCTCAAATCACCCATTCCTTGGAGGGTAGAAGGGTGCCAGAAACAGTAACAGGTCAGGTTCTGTGCAGGAATGGGAGAGGGTCCAAGGGAGGGCTTCTCCCACAGCACTGAGCCACATTTTCATAACCCAGGCTCCCAAACTATTAGTGACCCTTTGCTCAGGCCCTTACAAAGCTCCTACTGAATAATTCCATCAACTCTAGCCCTCACTCCCTCTGGACAAGGAGTTGAGAAACCATCACAAAGGACTTTCCTCTCACAAAGGACTCTGTGAGAGGAAAATATCAATTCATTCCTCCCTTCTGGCCCCAACCTCTTTCTGCACTGGGTTACAGAACAAAAACATTCACAAACAGATGCTGGTATGTGGATGACTAATAAGACTGTTCTACTGTAAATTACCAAAGGTCAGTGAAAAATATTCTGTTATATCAAAACGGTAGGGCAAGCTTATTTACAGGTATGCATTGAAACGAATTAACCTGCCAGGAGCATAAGACAGGCCGTCTCTACCATGCCAATTATCAGTCATGTAACACCTTTGACTATGACGGCATGGTTTTTATTATTAACATAACATATAATTTAGAAATGAAACCCCAAACATTGAAGGAACCTGAGAACACCTTCCTGGTAATCTGGTTCTACACACAGCAACTTTTGAAAACTTGTGCATTAACTAAGTAGTAGATTGTAGAGAACCAAAATTTTTCTATGCTTTTCTAAATAGAAGCATAGGAATTTTCCATTTCTTTTCTTAAAAACAAAAACATACTATCTTCCTCCTTTTATTTACTAAAGAATT